CTGGACCACGAATATATAAATGTACATATAATCGTATAAGCGCTTTAATGAATGTTATCATAGTATTGCTACACTTAAACAATCTCATCCACTAATCATAAAAGTATAGGATCAAATCGGTTTTTGTTACAATTTACGTAACTAAACCCATCGATGGTCACATATACATATATAACTAACAATATAGATTAAACATGATGTATGGTTTTTAAATAAAAATAGATTTCCAACGAATTCCTCTTTAGCTTGAATAGATATCAAACTTCAAATAAGTGCAACTAATACTGGACTTAACTGAATTCTTAATTATATACAGAAAAACATAATTTTTCTTAAAAAAAACATAAAACACCATAAAACTCCCACTAAAACCAAATATCACACCAACGTGTGTGGTATGCTCATGAAAGACCTACAGAGGTAATCCATTTATGAGTGGATCCGCTATCATGGAGTTTTTCTTGATATATTATATAAATATTTGTCCATTAGTAATTTTTTCTTTAATAGTTAGAAGCTTGATATCAATATGATTTGACTAAGTTGACTTCTACTGTTGTTAGAATATAATATTACTAACTTATTGTCGGCTCATCATGATAACATGTAAAAGTATCCTGATATGGATTCATAACCATTTTGACATCTAATAAAATCATACTCCTAATACAAATGATCTCCAAAACATCTTATTTCCTATAGTTGAGCATATAGCCTTTTGTTTTATATAGATATCTCAAAACCCATTTGGATGCGTCTGAATGATCTATAATTGGGTTGCTTAGATATATGCCCAACATCCTTATAATATATGGATGTATACATACTGAGCATACATCAGATTCCCAACAAAGAAAACCTAAGGAATGTTTTACATCTCTCTAACTTTAAGGTCAAATTTAGGGCATTGATTGAGATTAAATCAATCTCTTTTAGCAACAAGGATGTCGCTTGGTTTGTAGTTAGCATGTGAAACCTTTCAAGGATCTTGTTGATGTAGATCTTTTGTGATAATCCATGAATTCCACGAGATATGTCTCGTTGAATCTAGATTCCTAATACAAAAATAAGTTTCCCCAATATCCTTTATTTCAAAATACTTTAATATATTGATGGCAAGCAATATGTCATCAACATACAAAACCAGAAAGATAAATTTACTCACATTGAATTTGTGATACAAATAACCATTTACTGTATTTACCTCAAAACCAAACAAGGATAATGAATTGATGAAACCTATGGTACTATAGATGGGGTATCCTAAGTTAAGGTTGTTGAGTTTGTTCATTATGAATAAGAGATTGAATAACATTGTCGGTCACTGATTCATAATTTGTATACTATTAAGGCAATAATAGGAATCGAGATTAATTCATCCTTAAAGATAATGTTTTTAACCTTGCTTCTCCCCCAAACTCAACTCAACATCCTTAAAGAATGTTGCTCTATCTAAAATGCAAATTCAATATCCATGAAACTGAGAACTGATATAATTCTCTCATTCCATTCCTTAAAGTTAGTCCCCTTGATCATATGAATGTGATCAATGTTGGTAGATATAATGTCAGAATTCAAATTTGTTGTTTTGAGAACATAAGTATTAACTAATCTTAGTTTAATGCTCATTAATCCATAAACTTTAATCAATAATTCATTTATGACATACTTACTAGATATTGACATAACATTAATACCAAGTCTTTGGACAGTAATATTAATTTGCAAAAGATATATTTGTTTTAGTGATAAAACATTGACAGTAAATAATGTCAATTAACAAGCCATTCTTTGGATTGACTTATTAATCACATAGAACCAAAATAATTGTCGCATGTTTATCATTACATATGTGTTTATCCGACCAAGTATCAACCAAACTTTTTAGTCAGCTAATTAACAAACACATAAAATACATAATTTAATAATAAGCATTGACAATAAATCAGTCGATTAATAAGCCCCTCTTTAGATTGATGTATTACTGACATGTAACCTAAAAAAATTGTCGTATATTTATCATTGTTTATCCAGCCAAATATTAACCTATCTTTGGGTCGATTAATATCCGCATTAATTAACACATAAACCATAAAATTTAATAATAAACATCGACAATATACCTAGATTGACTTATTAATAACGTGTAACCTAAAAAATATTGTTGAATGTTTACAATCATAGATGTGTTTATCCGACCAAATATCAATCTACCTTTGGGTTGATTAATATCCGTATTAATTAACACATAAACCATAAAATTTAAATTCCTTGTAAATTAATTTTCACAGAATAGATATTTTGGTGACATATTGTATCAATTAATTTACCCTTAAAAAAATAATATGGCATAGCTTAATTTATTGGTAACCAAAAATTAAAAGACAATCTTACATAAGATATGTGTCAATTAATATATTTTAAAAATAAATAAACATGTTATAACTGTTGTTTATTGACAATGTGAAAAGTGAAAATACTTTTGGGTCAAATAAAGTTTAAAAAAAATATGGTATAAAACTTAATGTATTTACAATCAAATTAATTAAAATGATAGATGTTACTTTGGTAATAATATTATATCAATCACAAATAACTTGTGTAAATATTTGAATCTTTTGGTATCAAAATATTGATTTCATAACTTTTGCAAATATCACAACCATAAATAACATAATCATTCTTTTAAAAATACATGTGGTTGCAAAATTGCTTTAAAAAAATTAGACCTCACTAGTAGAGATGAAACTTAAACGAAAATACATTTCCATCTTGCATTATTTGTCCTTAATCAAAATTCACGAAAACATTAATAAGTAGACAGCTACAAATTGCATATAATACACAAAATAATCATTGTTTATTTAATATTGCAAACAATTCATGACAAAAAGTAAGAGTCCCCAAGTCAACTAGTAGGGTAATTGACTAACCGAAACCATAAACATAACCATGATTAAACAAGTTTGAACCTACTATCAACGACAAACATTTGAATCGGATGAATCAAACATTTATTTGATATGGTTTTATGATTTAAAGTACGTAATTAGTTTTGCCTCTTAAGAAAACACATCAAATCCCAAAAAGACATAGGATAAAGCCAACTGGGGATGTTGAATAATGAATAGTTTCATGAGCTAATGAGTGGTGAGTATCAAAGTGAGAGAGCAAGATGAGATTAAACCAAATCTTCTGAAACTTAACCAATTTATTAAACCTTGAATAACGATTTTATTATAATAAAATAATAAAGTAATAAGCAACTATCAATATTTGAATTCTTGAAAATATTACCATTTCATTTAATTTAATTCTTGTTAGAAATTAAATAAAAAAAAATATGTCAGAATGTACAAGAGAGACATATTGCTTAGAAGCAATGTTTTAAAAACCGGTTTAAACCGAAAGTCAAACCGGTTGGACCGGGAATCAGGGAAGGAAGCGGTTCAACTATCACCGGTTTTATGTCTATTTCTGAACCGGATTGAACCGGCCGATTTTTACAAAAATCCGGTTGAACCGGTTCAATTAAACCGATTAAATTGAATAAAAACACATGAAATTGAAAATTTTGCATAATAAACTTTTGTAGTTTTTTTATTATTAAAATTTTTCTGAATAAAAACATATGATAAATGTTATGAAGTTTTTTGATGCGTTTATATTCATGTAGGACTTTATTTTCTTTTTAATGCATGTGGATTGATGTAAAACTTATGGTTATGAGTTATTTTAATATAGTTAGATTGGTCTAGAACTTGTTTTCATGTGTATTTTAATGTTTGAACTTGTGGACATCAAATTCTTGATTTGTGTATGTATGTGTATGAAAATATGAAAATTATAGAAACCGGTTTACTCAGCGGTCGAACCGGTTGAACCGGAAACTGGTACCATACCGGTTCAATTAAAAAACCAGTTTTTAAAACATTGCTTAGAAGTGACTCTCAAATAGAATAAATTTGCATAGATTTGTCAACAGGGGCTATTAAGGTTTTTGCTTGCACACACAACACACGATATTTATTCTTGGAAGCCTGAAGAATCACGATGGTTTGCGAAAGTATGATAAGCACTTTTGTTAAAAGAAAATACTAAAAGCAAAAGGTATATATGATATACATACACCATGTGTGCATACGAAAACCCAAACAAAGAAATTATACTAGTTGTCATAATTCGTTTCTCTCGTCGACCATCAATTTACACGGGTATGCTTAATTTAAAATAACTTCACACAAAGTTATAAAGAGGGTTAGAGATATAAAGGAGTTAAAAAGGGTTAAAAATCTAAGAAAAGGAGATTACATAAATAAATTAATAAAAGAGAGCAAAGATTGAAGAAGTGTTCGGTTTAAAAAACATTTTGAAATCCATTTTGATTTATAAAAAGGGTTAGAAATTTAAATGTATAAGAAATTAAGCATTGGAATCGCCATTACTGTTTTTATGTAACTAATTGTCGTTTTACAAATGTTTAGAAGCAAATTATACATATCTATGTAATTATTCAATCCACTTTTCCAATAATCTCTTATTCTTGACGAAAATATTTAAAAACTCTCATAATAGACAGAGAACTTGCTAAGAATAATTACTTAAGTCCAAATTTTTGTTGATAAAAAAAAAATACAAGTTTTTTTTTAAATAGCAGAATACAAAATACTTAGTCAAAACTCAAAAGAACCATTTATTAAACTATTATTTATTTAATTTAACAATTATAAAAGCTAAACACTAAACAGCAAATTTGGTCCAAGAGGTTCCTCGGGTCTAAAATGTTTTCAACTTGAACCCATCAGAATCCAAAAATGAAATTTCTTTAACTCGGAAAGACTGTTTTGCCCTTTTAATAACTTTTTCACATTTTTAACACTGTTTTACCAAAACCAAAACTGATATCAGTTTCAATCATTTCAATCTTCCAAAAAAACCAAAAGCTTTCTCAAAACTAAAACATAAACAAACACAAAACCCCAGAACCAAAGATTAAAACAATAAGCCACCTTTTATAATGACCTTCTTAAGTTCTTACTTCTCAGTGCCAAAAACTCAATAACCATACACAGAATAACCAACCTTTTCCCCCAAAGTTTTTTGTACTTAAATTCATAGTACAAGACTTCACATTGATTCACCCGACCCGACCCTGACCGAAACTTTGTATGAAAAAGCGCATTTTTCTTTCAGTAACCAAGAAAAAAAACTAGTAATAATAATTATTATTATTATTATTATCATTATCATTATTATTACCCGCATACCGAGAAAACACGCCCAATCATTCCTTGTGTCCAAGTAGCTGTCTCCTTCAACTGCTCATCTTCCGATTGAAGACACTCTACTAATAACTCACTACAGAACGCCAAGTCTTTGAAGAGAGCCTTCACGTGGGGCCCAAGTGCATCTGCAAGGTCTCCAAGCACTGCTACTGCTGCCCTCACCACACTCTCATCCCTACATAAACAAAAATATATGTAAAACGAAAAAAAAAAAAAAAAAAAAAAAAAAAAAAAAAGTGAATATTTTTATTTTTATTTTTATATATAATATTACCTGTGAGCATCTTTAACAACAACTTCAATGAACTTCAAAAGATGAGGAGCATGAGGCAACATCAACTCAGCTTTCGAATTCTTAAACCCTTGTAAAATCCCTGAATACGCTTCGAAAATACTTCTTTTCAGCTGATTCCCATACTCCACCATTTCTTCATCATTCACATCAATCTGAGCACAAACTTCCGCAGCTCCTTTCATCATCGGCATAGCATAAGGAACATACTTCTCAAAATGCTCCCCAATCGCAAGCGCCACGTCACCAAAGCAAGAAAAAATCGGAGGCTTCACGGATCTATGCAAATCGCCACTAGACAAATCCTTAAGAAGCAAACTCATAATGTTATCACAAAAAGGCAACATTTTGTCATCCAAAGCTCTGCATATATCCCCAACTACTCCAACTGAAATAGTACAAACTTGATATTCCTCAAAGTTTTGTAATCCCATTTCTAGATATTTATAAAACTCTGGCATGTATTTTATGAAATTTTCCCCTGTTGCATAAGCGAGAGCACCAATTGCTAACATGGCTTCTTCATGTACAGTTGAGCTTCTACAAGCAAAGACTTTGAGAAAAAGAACCATGATTTGATCAGCAGCTTGGAAAATGATCTGTTTTGTTTCCTCAATGCTGCTGAGTTTTTGAATGATCACCTGCAACACGCCACACAGTAACGCCTGTAGATCTCCTTGCTTTTCGCGATCATCGGATGATAAAATTTGAAGGTCAATTGTTTGACCGAGTTTTGACATCACAACAGGTAGGAGTTGAGTAATGATTTGAGATGTTTCTTTCAGATTTGAACACCTTACAACTTCATTCAAAGTCTCATAAGCAGCAGATCGAAGCTTTGAGTCATTAGCATCTGTTCTTTCAGCAGTTGCAATTAATGAAGTGATGATGTCAGCGTGATAAGGTGTTAAAACAGAAGAACCACTTTCAAAACCTTCGTACCCTTGAGCGAGATAATAAATAGCACCACATACTTTTTCAGCTACATGAGGTGAATCTTTGATGCTTTCTAGAAGGACCTGGATGATTCTTTCAAGATTAACAGGGGTAATAACGGAAGATCCAGTAACAGGGCTGTGTAATAATTCGAAAATTCGACTTAAAGTCCATGCAGTTGTGTCTTTCACATGACTGTTTTGATCTCCCATAGCATTGAGGAGAAAATCTAGAGCTGATAACACCATAGGAGAAAGCTTTTCGCCACTTGGACCTTCAAGAATGGAGCCAAATGCATACGTGGCAGCTTCGCGGGCCCGCCAATCTGGCTTTGAAATGTTCTCTTGAACAAATGGCATAACCAAAGGGACAATGGAATCCCCTACAGTTCTTGCAACAAGACCTAAACATGTCCCACCTGCCATTGACAAATTCCAGATTCCATCTTCTTGATCTTGATCTTCATCTTGTTTTAATAAAGTTTCTAGAAGCATTGGAACAAGTAAAGATAAAGCTTTTTCTATGAAACGTGAATGAGGGTATGAATCACCGGTTTCATTAGTTTCAAAATCTTGAAGCTCAATCTCTTCATCACAAATGGAACTCCAAAACTCAATAGCTTGAAGAGCAACGTCTTCTTCATCTCCTTTTACTGCATTTGCTGTTAACTCAAAGAGGGTTTGCATGTAAGGCTCAAGAACTTCATAGTAAGTTGATGCGATTGACACAAGGCATTCGAATGCAGCTTTTCTGACATCAGGTTCTTTAGCCATAGCTGTTTCACATACTACTTTCATGATGTAATTTCTTTCCATTTCATTTTCGAAATTTGTTTGTGCGAAATCAAGTGCGTTGTATAAAGCTGTGGCTGCAGCTAGACGAACAGAGCTTTGTTCAGTGACATTCATACCTTGAACAACAGCTGTAAGGACTGAGTTGACTTCATCTTGAACAAGATCATTGTGGGAGATTTCTTCACATACATAACCAAGTGACTCCAATGTTGCTTGTTTTAATGATGATGGTTTATCTTGTTGTGTCATGTTTCCAAGTAGAGAGCTAATGAGTTCAGGCCATTCTTTTCTTGGGATTTCAATGGAGGCGATTTTGGCAATTACTTGAGCTGCAGTGTGGCCTGCTTCAGAAACTGATGAAGCAAGTGTGTTTAAGAGGAGACCTTTGATTTGGGATCTGAATGAAATGTCATTTGACACCCATCTTTGGAGTAAATGTTCTTTGGTTGTAGCATCTTTGGCATCTAAAGAGTTCTTGAGGACAATTCCAGCTAATCTTCTAGACTCCAGAGGTTTATTGTCATTGGAGAGTTCAAGTGACAAAGAGAGAAGAAACCCTGGAAGGTTTTGTTCTTGAAATTGCCTGAGTCTGACTTCTGCTTCAGTTCGGACCTTTGCATCTGGTGATTGAGCAGATAAAAGGAATTCTGTAATCTCCACAGCCATCTTCACCTGTTGAAAAGATTGGAGAAATACAATCAATCTTTTAGTTCCATAGTTTCTGGATAAGAAATGGTGAAATCAGATGATAAAAACTCATAATGGATAACAATTTAGGTGAGAAGAAACCAAAGGTGAAACTTAAACCACATAACTCATTAGTACAACTAGAAGCAGTGCTTTGAGAACAACTAGCCATTAGAACTTGAGTAAAAGGAAGAAAACAGTATAACAGTGAAAAGAAAATAGTTCAATTGTGCAACAGTAATGTTATAAATGCTTTTAAATAAGCAAAACAGTAAAAGAATGTGTAAAAGCATGATTCAGAATAATTTATGAACCATAGAACAGTTGTAGCAATTGACAATTGAATCAGTTTACATTCCAAATGCCAATTTTTTGTTTGATTATTCAGGTTAGATTCATGCGCATCACTTTTCCAGAGCAAATTTTGTTGAGACTTCAAAACAAAATCATACACGTGCATAGATACATAAAATAATTTGAAACTTTTTGTATATTGCATATATCAATGATTCAAAATCAACCAAAATCCACGCATGTTACCATAAGATGAAAAGGCCTATTATCCATCATCTCTAATATGAGTTCGATGATGTTACATTCTTCAGGATTTTTCTACATGCATCACGATGTAATAGAAAATAGCCTAGTATTCAGAGTCTAAAAGCGATGTTCTACAAGTTCGAATACAAATTACTACCGTTAAAATAACGCACTTCCCTAAATCTCTCGATTCAAATGACCGATGAACAAAATTTCATATAATCAAAACATCTAAGCACAGTTACACGTTTACTGTAAAACGCGTTGCACACTTTACCTACTACGTCATCAAAGCGAACAAATCAGTAAACCTAGAAGCGATAACATCAAAGAGTACATTGAGATCTGTAAGTAAGCATACACAATAAACAAGCATCAAGTTCAACATACAGAGAAACCCTAATCCAATCGGCAACCAAAAATTTTACAAAACAGAAAAAGCCAAAACCATTGTTATTGCCACAACAAAACATCAACTGAAGTTAGATCTGTTGTTCAAAATTTAAACCTCGCATAAACCCTAAACTGAAAGCAGAAACTAATCAACAAATTATACCTTAAATTTAGGGGAAAATCTGAAGACAGCAGAAGAAATTCCAAGTGCTGAAGAGGCCGAAATGAAGATAAAATTTTGAGAGAAAAAGAGAGAAATCGTGTAGTTTAGAGAGTATTTGGGGGTGTATATATTTCGAATGAATGAAGGAAGCGGGAGGGATGAAGAGGGGACGGGAAAGAAAAAATTATACAACGGGCAGATGACCGAACTGCCCAAGATCGCCGACCTGTCGGTTCTAAAACCCTAGTATCGTTTTCGTATTTGGTGAGGTGGATGAATTTGAAATTTTCGTACGTGCGAGGAGCGTGCTAAAATTCAATGGTGATCTTTCTTTCACAATTTTTTCCGTTTTATAATGATGTTCCATATTAAGCTTAATTAGATTTAATCATATATTTGAATTAAGGGAAAGTGATTAATCTAATCAAGTTTCGAGGTTATTTTGTATAAAATAAGTAAAAAATGTTATATAATAATCGCCCACTTTGGAATAGGCATTTTCGGAGTAGTGAAAAAAAGGTCAAATCGAATACTATAGCTCGAATGTGTGTGTGTGGAGCCCATGAAGATATCGAACACCTCGAACAAAGCATTTTGGACGGTGGTGATACTGAAGTTCTTATAAACTAAATATCGAAGATTTAGTATGTTTTCTACCATGGATAACCTGTTAGATTTTGGGTTTCGAATATCAATAAAATCGCGTAGAAAAATCAAGGATCATGTATGACAGTATGAGAAACATTTTTCAAAATATGTGATTCCGAACCAATTGTCTGGAGAATCGTGAAACCTGATTTGGTCTAATCCAATGATCAAATTGAATTGGAATACAGACTTATTCTAAATTTTGAAACACAAAAATACCTTGCAATTGTATGTGTTTTCCAGAGACAATGATTGCAGAGAGAAGAAACAGTTTTTCTTGTATATTCTAACTATTCTACAACATTCAAGTCTTCTTTTGTATGTAGAAGATGAGGGTTATGTAGGGAAAACGGTGCCTTTTTTTATTGAACGCAAACAATGGGTTTTGGCAGGAAAATTTCGGTCTGACCCATTTTTCTTATATGTAGGAAAAATAGTACCTCCTTTTATTTAACACAAACCTCGTTGGGGGCTTTGTCACTTGGTCCCAACTACGGGCGCTACCCTTAGATCCCGCCAAAGGCAATACCCCTTCGAACTCACCAGGGACGTTGCCCTCGGACCCCCATGGTTCCGAGTCCTCTTTAGTTATTTGAATGTGCACTATGTACTTCTTGTTGGATTAGGTGTCTAAGCTCATAACTATATTTAGTATGTACTTGACCCGGTTGTAGCATGGTCCGTTTGGGTTGCCTTCACCAGAGTAACTTGACTGGAAGAATAATTGAGAAAGAGGATAAAATTGATTTATTAATATATTATGTGAATAATATATTAAAAGAGAAATCATATTATTTAATGAAAAAACATCATAAATGGTGCCTGTGGTTTCCCAAAATCTGAAGTTTAGTCCCCGTGGTTTAAAAACCTCATAGATGGTCCCTGTGTTTTCAAAACTTTTGACGATTGGTCCTTATTGCTAACTCCGTTAAGTTTTATCCGTTAACTGAAGGGTATTTTCATCATTTCACTACCATAGGGACCATTTATGATGTTTTTTTTAAAGAAAAATTAAATATAATTATTTAATATATAAACTCTCTCTCTCTCTCTCTCTCTCTCTCTCTCTCTCTCTCCAAAGAGCGTGGCTGCTGGGTACTTCCCTTTCAATTGTTTCCCTTAAAAACCCAAACCACCATACGCCCCTCCCATTTGCTTCCTTTTGGCATTCAATCGATCTCCGACACAGAGAACCCTTCCTTTTTTCTTCTTTATCTTCATCAACTGTAAAGCTTCACCATTGATTTCCTGAGAAAAAAATGGATGCTGCTTCAACGCTAATCACATTCCAAGATTCGTAGGTATCCACATTGGCGCCACCTTGATACAATCAGCGATCGGGGAGTTTGTCTCCAACGAAGATGGTGGTGGTGATTTTGGGGGTGGTGGAGTATCTTATGATGTGATGTGATGTAACAGGTAGGCGAGGTAGAGGTTTTGTCATTTGATGCGGAGGGGAGAGATGGAGGAAGAACAGGGGAGAGAATGAGGTTTTAGATGAGAAATACGCTGAAGAATTCAGTCTACAAAACCCCTTTCGTTTTCTTCAAATGGGTTCATTGCCTACTGTGCCCTTAATTTGTTGGGTTTCAAAATGAAAAATACGTTATGTTGGTTATAAAATCAAAATCCCAGGAATGCAATGGTGATAAATCTTAATATGTTTTCTTCAAATGGGTTCTATACATGTTTATCTATTTGTTGAATTGGATGTCTCTGGAAAGAAAATTGGAAGTGTATGCTTCCAATGGTGATAAATCTTAATAAATAAATCAGAGAATGAAGGAGGAGAACAATGCACTCCAAGTGCTCGATGAAACACCTGAAAGAAAAGTACCTTCACAAAACTGAAAGTGTCTAATTTCACACCTGATGCATTCAAAGTTGAAAGAAAACATCAGACCCAGTAGCTCACGAATTAGGTAACACCACCCATTTCAAGTTATTATGAAGTAGAGAGGAGAAATCAAGATACCTCCTCCAAAAAAAACACAAACACATGTAGCAGAAAGTAGAAATCGAGTTCCTTCGATCATCAAATATTTTACCAGCATGAAACATGAAAGAAGGCTCGCAAGGGTGGGATTGGAGGAGTAATCTCAGTGTGTTTTTAGGAAGAACACGATGAGAGAGAGAGAGAGAGAGTTTATATATTAAATAATTATATTTAATTTTTCTTAAAAAAAACATCATAAATGGTCCCTGTGGTAGTAAAATGACGAAAATTCCCTTCAGTTAACGGACAAAACTTAACGGAGTTAGCAATAAGGACCAATCGTCAAAAGTTTTGAAAACACAGGGACCATCTATGAGGTTTTTAAACCACGGGGACTAAACTTCAGATTTTGGGAAACCACAGGGACCATTTATGATGTTTTTTCTTATTTAATTAACATTGGCCAAGAATTAATTTAGAATTAGTTTTGTGGTCAAAAGAGGTTAATTGAATTAATGGGACTGTTATTGTAATTATTGGATAATTGGAGAGTGGGCTGAGGAACCCTAAAGATAGGGTGGACGAAATCTTATGGAAGCCCATAAGGATTTCGTCCAAACATAGGATTCTAGAAAGATCTTATGGGCTGCTTAGAGCCTAAGCAACCGGATTAGGTCTTTAGCTGAAACCCTAATTCCTCACCTATATAAAGACCATCCTGGCTTCACAATTTCGGCTACCAGAAACCCTAAAAGGATTCCTAGATCTGATTTTAGCATTTCCCCTCTCTTTCTTGCATTCTCCAATTGATTTGGTGTTTGTGATCTATTAGAGGCATCGCATTTGAGGTGCTAGTTATTTATGTTGATTTCGATTTTTATAGTATGCTAGATTAGGGTTTATAAGCTGTGGATGATTATTGCATGTACAAATAGAAAAACTAGATCCAAAGCTTTAGGGTTTGCATGTGCACCATAGGATTGATGTTTTGCTCATAACCCAACAGTGGTATTAGAGACCAGGCTGTTTTCTATTGTATTTGATGCCTTGTTTAATCATTCATTGCTAAAAAAATCAAAATTTTTGCATTCTGACACATGAACTCGTCGAGTCACCGGATGAACTCGACGAGTCAGATGAACTCGACGAGTCCAGTCTGTGACTCGGCGAGTCGGAGAGTCAAATGGCAGATTTTTTGGGATTTTGACCAAAATTGAATTGGGATAATTACCAAAAACGTTTTTGACAGATAAAATCTGATTTTTTTAATATGATATTGATTATCCTAATTCAATTGAAAGATAATTGTCAATAAATAAGATAATTACTTGTTTATAAGATAAAATTGATTATTTGTATTTTTTATTTTAATTGTCTTGTCAAGAAAATAGATTAGGTCAAATTATGTGATAAAGATTAATAATATGATTAATTAATTATTTTTCAAATTTGATCTAAAAGATGTTTTGAAAAGTTTCAAAACTTGCCCTTAAGTTTTGGAATTTAAATTTTTGATTAATAGTTTTAATTTTGAAATATTTAAATTCTAAACCCTAGAGTTTTAAAAATTAAAATTCAACCCTTATACTATTATAATATCATAAGATTAATTATATATATATATATATATATATATATGTGTGTGTGTGTGTATGTATGTATAAGATAAAGCTAGTCTTACCGTTAGTAGGCATCATTCACGAAACCGATCTTTAATGGGGGTATAAGGTAGTTGCCTATAAAATGACAGTTTAATGGGTGTCCACTCTCACCCACAGCTTCCTTGATTGGTGGAGGGTTGTTAGCCGAACGGGTAGGATAGGGCAACCAATTCCTCGTTAATAAGTATAATGATTATATAAAGTAACTAAATGTTTTTATAAATTCTCAATCTTAGTTACTTTAGGAAAAATGTGAAAATGTATGTTATTCCATGAAATTACACTTTGCACCTTGCCAAGTCGTTAGTGGAGCGTGTGTGGTTAACCGACACACTAATTTGGGACTAGCAAAGGGTAGCTCGATGTTTATCATAGATCAATGGAGCGTGTGTGGTTAACCGACACCTTGATTAGGTGGTAAATGACATCGAGAGTGTCAAGTACATTTGCATGGTTATTCACACATTGTTTGTGATCCTCGGTATCCCAGTCACAAACTTGAAGGGCATAATCGAGATTTAAACGTGTCATTGAAAAGTTCAATGAATCTCAAAAGAATCTAGGAATTTCAATTCATTTAAAACTTAAAGTCCTTTTCGTTTTTCATGGTGGAAATTGGTAAATCGTCATTTACCTACCTTCATATTATTTGCAATTAGATTACAACATTCCTCTTATGAATTGTAAATAATTATGTTGGGTCTTAGCCCTAATTTTTCATTTGGGTGTTTAATTTGGGATTATTATCTAATCTAAACTATGTTCCTTTTCTATTTCAGATGTCTACTCAAAACACGCTTCTGGCTCAACCCCTTCTGGCTCATTCTCACTCATGAACTTGTGTGGGAGGGTGATCTTCGATGGAACCAACTTCAATGATTGGATCCGCAACATTCGCATGGTCACCCACTACGAGGACAAAGAATATGTTCTTGACAAGGAGCTGAAAGAGGTTAACCCAAACATTGCTACTCCCGAGAAAATTGTTGCGTTTGAAACTCATGAAATAGATGCAACGAAGGTACATTGCATCATGCTCGCAACAATGACTGTTGAACTCCAAAAGTCCTACGAGGACTACTATCCATACGAGATGCACCAATATTTGATGGAAAGGTTGTTGGATTAGGTGTCTAAGCCCATAACTATAATTGGTATGTACTTGAATTGATGGCAGCACAGTCCTTTTAGGTTGCCATCAACCTAGCAACTGGACAAGGAAATTATGAAAGGAGAGATATTAATTTATAAGATTAATAAATTAATATATATAAATGATTTATTAATATGTTAAAAGATTAATATATTAATTAGAAATCATTATGTTTAATTAATAGTTAGCCAGAAATTAATCAGAATTAATTTTGGGGTTAAAAGTATTAATTATAAAGTCCAAGGGGCTTTGGATAAGGCCTTTGGGTTAGCTTAGGCCCTAAGCAAAGGAGTATTAGGGTTTTCCCTAAACCCTAGATCCCTCAGCTATATAAGGAGCCTCCCAGCTCCTAAATTCGGCCACTCCTACCTTGGAAGAAATCCTAGGCCGAATTTTGCATACCCTAGCCTCTCTCTCCTTCAAGTTTCCTTCTTGCTAGTTCTTGAGTGTGATTCCATTAGATGCATTACATTTGTGGTGCTAGGCTTCCAAGAAGATCAAGTTCAAGAGGATTAACAATTGTTTGCTATAACAATTGAAAGGTATGTAATTCTGAAACCCTAGTTTGTTAATTTCGAAATTAGCCTCTCTCCTCTAGGGTTCTTGTTTGCAATTCAAAGTTATATGTTCAATAGTTAAAACATAGATCCAAAGTAGGTTGCATGTGAACTTAGGAATTGTTTTCTAGTTTATTTGTTTTACCTAAAACCCATCAGTGGTATCAAAGCCATTGTTTGTTTTAAATTGAATTGCTATAATAGTTGAATTGCAAATTAGGGTTTATAGCCATTAAACCCTAAAGGCCAAAATTTTCGTTTTTAGGGTTTTTGGTTCAAAGGGTTTTTCGAAAAACCCTAGCCTCCATGAACCCTAATCGAAATTAGGGTTAGGGTTTTGGAAAACCCTAGCCTCCTCCCTTGAATTTCGAAATTTGCTTGTTATTTTAGGGTTTTATCTTATTTTGGATAATTATTGCCTAATTGGATAATTGAGAAAAATAAGGAAATTATCCTTTACCCTAATTTTCGAAATTTAGAGGGATAAGGATTAGGATTAAATTAATTGATTAATTTGATTAGATAATCCTTACAAGATTTAATAAATTGATTAAAAGTTAATTAATAGATAAACATTAAATCTAGTAATTTGGTTTATTTTAAATTTAAATTAATAGTTTAATTTTCGAAATTTATATAAACCTTAAAGTTTTAAAAAGTTTAAAACATACCTTATATATGTATTATAATTAAAAGTTTAATATTATATATGTATAAGAATATGGTCAGTCAAATCGCTAGTATGCCTCATTCACGAAGCTAGTCTAAAAGGGGGGTATAAGGAAACTGCCTATAAAATGGTAGTTGAATGGGTGTCCACTCTCACCCACCGCTTCCTTGATTAGTGGAGGGTCGTTAGCAGAACGGATTTGATAGGACAACTACTTCTCATTAAAAGTATAATGCTATTAAAGAAAGTACTAGAACATTATTTTACAAAATCCCAACTCTAGTTACTTTAGGAAAAATGTGAAAAGTATGCTAATCCATGAAATTGCACATTGTGCTTTATTGGTCGTTAGTGGAGCGTGTGTGGTTAACCAGCACACTAAAAGGCACTAATAAAGAGTAGTAATGGGTATCTCATAATTGTCATTTTGATGGAGCGTGTGTGGTTTACCAGCACATCAATAGTTAATGATAAAGACAATGAGGTTACCAAGCACATTTGCATGGTTATTCACATCTTGTTTGTGATCCTCGGCATCCCAGTCACAAATAGAAGAGCATAATCTGAGATTAAAACATGTCATTGAATAGTTTCAATGTATCTCAAAAGAATTAGGAATTTCACTTCGTTTGTTTCGTCTAATGGTGGAATTGGTGAATCGTCATTCACCTACCTTTATGAAATTTACTCTTGGATCTCGGCATCCCATTTCTAAGCTGTGAATCTTCATAGTTGGATCCTAACCTTGATATTATATCTTTGGGTTATTTTATTAAGGTATCTTGAAATCTAACTAAAACTTTCTTTCCTTTCAGATGTATACTCTTGGAAACACTTCTGCTTCGTCCTCCTCCAACCAAAACTTCTCTTTGCTCAATATCTGCTCCAAAGTCGTTATGGATGGCTCAAACTATAACGATTGGATGCCCAACATCAAGATGGCGCTTCGTTTTGAGAACAAAGAATATGTTCTCGAAAAGGAGCTCAAAGAGCTTGATGAGTCTGAAGCTACTCTTGAAGATCTTGTTGCCTACAAGAAACATTACGATGATGCTACCAAAGTGACGTGCATCATGGTGGCAACCATGCCCCCAGAACTGCAAAGGTACTATGAGGACTACTGGCCTTTCAAGATGAACAAGGACCTTATGGAAAAGTACCATAAGCGAGCTCGTCAAGAAAAGTTTGAAGTAGTCAAGTCACTCATGGCTTGCAAGATGAAAGAAGGGGAGTCGGTTGTGTCACATGTGCAAAGAATGCAACGCTACATAGAGCGTTTGGTCAAGCTCAACATTCACTTTGATGAGGAATTGGCCATTGACATGGTCTTGAACTCACTACCTGATTGTTATGGTCAGTTTATTCTAACTTACCATTTGAACAACACTGAGCAGACTCTAGCCCAATTGCACAACTTGTTGCAGACAGCTGAAGCAGGGATGAAGGGTAAAAGTATACCCTCCACACCTCCAAGTGCCCTTGTCTTGGCTATTGGACAGGGAAAGGGGAAAAAGAGGAAAGGTCCTCCCAAGCAAAACTGGAAGAGCAAGGCTCAAGCTGGGTCATCTAGTAATGGCCCAAAGGCTAAGCCCAATGCTACCACTCCCCATGTTTCTGATCCAAAAGAGGCCATTTGCTTTTATTGCAATCAAAAGGGGCATTGGAAGAGATCTTGCCCTCAATATCTGCAAGATATTAAGGATGGCAAAGTGAAGCCATCTTCGGCAGGTATTTACACTATTTCTGCTAATAACTCATTATCTTCTCGTTCATGGGTCCTTGATACAGGATGTGGTTTTCATATCTGTTCTGATTGCAGGGGCTAAAGGAAAGTGAGGAGATAGAGCGAGGAAGGATAAACTTGATCATGGGAAACAGAAAGTCTTCACCAGTAAAGATGGAGTTTATCAGCTTTTGCTTAGTAATGATGTTAGATTAGATTTGATAAATTGTTGCTATTCGTCTGAGATGACGAGAAACATTATTTCATTTCATGCATTGTTCAGACAAGGTTTTAAATATTCTTTTAATGATTTGAATGGTTCAATTTCTGTTTATAAGAATGGTATTTTTATGTTTGAAGCTTTACCTTGTGATGGTGTGTATGAAACAGTGACTTGTGTTGATAGCTTAGGAAATAGTGTACTTAATATTGACTTGTCTAATAGTGTAGACAAGGCATGCTTGTGGCATTGTCGTCTTGGACACATTAACAAGAAACGCATAGCCCAACTCCAAAAGGATGGGGTGTTGGAATCATTTGACCTAAAATCAGATGATATGTGTGAATCTTGTCTTTTGGGAAAGATGACAAAATCACCATTCACAGGGTCTTGTGAAAGAGGTGAAGGTCTGTTGGATCTCATACACACAGATGTGTGTGGGCCCTTCAGATCAACCACAAGGGATGCTAATCGATTCTATGTGACTTTCACTGACGATTATAGCAGATATGGTTATATCTACTTGATCAAACATAAGTCAGAAACCTTTGAAAAGTTCAAAGAGTTTAAGCATGAGGTCGAAAATCAATTGGGCAGAAAGATAAAGATACTTAGATCCGATAGAGGCGGGGAGTATCTTAGTATCGAGTTCTACGACTATCTGAAAGAATGTGGGATAGTCTCACAATTGACTCCTCCTAGGACACCACAGTTAAATGGTGTAGCTAAGAGGCGTAATCGGACCTTGTTAGACATGGTTCGTTCTATGATGAGTCGTGCTTCGCTTCCTATTCACTTCTGGGGGTATGCCTTAGAGACAGCCGCCCACATCCTCAATCTTGTCCCTACAAAGAAGGTTGCCAAAACACCTCACGAAATGTGGACGGGGAAAGTTCCCTCGTTAGCACATATTAAAGTCTGGGGTTGTGAAGCTTTCGTAAGACGAGAGACTCACGACAAGCTAGCAGCTAGAAGTGAGAAATGTGTTTTCATTGGTTACCCAAAGCAGTCTTTTGGATATTTGTTCTACAGGCCTAGTGAAAACGTGGTCTTTGTAGCACGAAGAGGAGTCTTTCTAGAAAGGGAGCTCATATTCAAAGAGGACAGTGGGAGCACCATTGAACTTGAAGAAATTCAAGAGTTAGCCAATGAAGGAACCTTAGATGACACTAGCACTCAACCAGAGGAAACAGTTCCTGTTGAACCAGTTGATAACTCATTACCTCTTCGAAGGTCCACTAGGGTGAGTGTGCCACCTGAGTTGTATGGTTTTCATATTACTTCAGATGGTGACACATTCATAAGTGACAAAACACTGGTAAACTTAGATGAACCAGTCACTTATAAGGAAGCAATGGCAGGCCCAGAGGCTTCCAAGTGGAAAGAGGCAATGGACAACGAGATTAAGTCCATGTATGACAACCAAGTTTGGAATTTGGTTGATAGTGCACCAGGTCGTAAGACAGTTGGGTGCAAATGGATCTTCAAGAAGAAGACAGACATGGATGGAAATGTGCACACATTCAAGGCTCGACTGGTTGCAAAAGTTTCACTCAAACCCCAGGGGTTGACTATGATGAGACCTTCTCGCCAGTAGCTAAGATTAAATCTATTAGGATATTGCTCGCCATAGCTGCCTTTCATGACTATGAAATCTGGCAGATGGATGTCAAGACTGCTTTCCTTAATGGGAAGTTGGCTGAGGATGTTTACATGAATCAGCCAGAGGGTTTTGTTGATGCAAAGTTTCCCAATAGAGTGTGCAAGCTTGAGAAATCCATTTATGGATTGAAACAAGCATCTCGCAGCTGGAATCTTTGCTTCCATGAGAAAGTCAAAGAGTTTGGCTTCTCTAGAAGTGAAGATGAGTTTTGTGTGTATATCAAGGCTAGTGGGAGTATAGTAACTTTTCTGGTGTTATATGTCGATGACATATTACTCATTGGTAACGACGTTCCAACCTTGAGAGATGTTAAGTCTTGGCTTGGAAAGTGTTTTGCCATGAAAGACCTTGGAGAAGCTGCCTATATTCTTGGGATTAGAATATTGAGAGATAGAAAGAAGAGACTAATTGGACTTAGTCAGAGCACATACTTGGATAAGGTACTAAAGAGGTTTAGTATGAAAAATTCCAAGAAGGGAGAGCTACCTATCCAGAGCAATACCAAATTGAGTAAGACTCAATGCCCGAGTACAGATGTTGAAATAGATGACATGAATCGTGTACCTTATGCTTCCGCTGTCGGATCGATCATGTACGCTATGACATGTACTCGCCCTGATGTGGCATTTGCTTTGAGCATGGTCAGTCGCTATCAGGGAAACCCGGGTAGAGCTCATTGGATAGCAGTAAAGAATATACTCAAGTATTTGCGAAGGACAAAGGACTGGGTCCTTGTACTTGGTGGCAATGATATTTTGAGAGTAGATGGTTACAGTGATGCCAGCTTTCAGACGGACAGAGATAACTTCCGTTCTCAATCGGGGGCTGGGTATTTTTACTGAATGGAGGAGCAGTTACTTGGAAAAGTTCCAAGCAAGATACGGTGGCTGATTCTACTTGTGAATCAGAGTACATAGCAGCGAGTGAAGCGTCGAAAGAAGCAGCTTGGTTGAGGAACTTCATCAGAGATCTCGGAGTTGTTCCAACCATCGAGGAGCCTATGGAACTGTTCTGCGATAATGAAGGAGCGGTTGCCTTGACAAAGGAACCGAGAGATCATGGTAAAACCAGACATATCGACAGAAAGTACCATTTCATCAGACATAGAGTAGAAGAAGGCCATCTTATAGTAAAGAGGGTGTCATCTGAAGACAACCCAGCAGATCCCCTCACAAAGGGTCTGAGTAGGGCTAAGCATATTCAGCATGCTCGGAGCATAGGACTGAAAGATGATATTAGTTTTAGTAGTTAGATTAGTTTTGTTCTGAAACTTGTAACAAAGTAAATGTAATTGACTTTTGGTGATTAAATAATAAAGTATTATTTATAAGTTTGGTTACTGCCTTTTGTCGATTGGTTGTTATTGTGTTTCATATTTTGCATGTTTTACTTCCCAAATATTTTAATTATTCAAACTCCACAGTCGCTCGTACTTTTGGAAGTAAGTAATGAATTAAGACTGTCATGAACTAGATTGTAGATTGTCTGAGGATAGACATGGCAATAGAATTGCTGCAATGTTCATGAGTACTCAGAAATTGAGATTTGAGTATTGGATAAACCCTCGCTCAGAGTATCACTTCATGAAATTCATCACGAGTAATACTGAGACAATAATATCTTATAATCTTGAAACGAAGATATATGGGTTGCAATTTACAAGTCAGTCATGCATTGGTGATACGAAATCGCATCAGTAACTTGGTGTTATAAAACGCATTGTCATGTATAATTTGATGAGTAAAAGATACAAGCATATGAGTCAACGTTTATTCGTTCTTTTTGCCCTAACAGGAGATGTGGGCCCCTCGATGATTTGGTGTTGACTTATGTGCTGGGCCCAGCCAGGAATAAATTGATGTGTTCAATTAGAAGTCCTACATCATCACAAATCAGAAATCGGGAAACATAGATTCTGGACAAAGAGATTGATTACATTCCATGTCTTATGTCTAGGGATATCTAGCAGAACGAAGGATTATATGATCACTTATTTTTAGGACACGTAACTGACTGGGTCAGAGTTCGGCAGCAGCTTTTGGAAGCTACAATTTGTTGGTCAAATTTAGAAGGCATACTAGCAATTATAGTTACAGACTTATCCAAGTGGGAGACTGTTGGATTAGGTGTCTAAGTCCATAACTGTAATTGGTATGTACTTGAATTGATGGCAGCACAGTCCTTTTAGGTTGCCATCAACCTAGCAACTGGACAAGGAAATTATGAAAGGAGAGATATTAATTTATAAGATTAATAAATTAATATATATAAATGATTTATTAATATGTTAAAAGATTAATATATTAATTATAAATCATTATGTTTAATTAATAGTTAGCCAGAAATTAATCAGAATTAATTTTGGGGTTAAAAGTATTAATTATAAAGTCCAAGGGGCTTTGGATAAGGCCTTTGGGTTAGCTTAGGCCCTAAGCAAAGGAGTATTAGGGTTTTCCCTAAACCCTAGATCCCTCAGCTATATAAGGAGCCTCCCAGCTCCTAAATTCGGCCACTCCTACCTTGGAAGAAATCCTAGGCCGAATTTTGCATACCCTAGCCTCTCTCTCCTTCAAGTTTCATTTTTGCTAGTTCTTGGGTGTGATTCCATTAGATGCATTACATTTGTGGTGCTAGGCTTCCAAGAAGATCAAGTTCAAGAGGATTAACAATTGTTTGCTATAACAATTGAAAGGTATGTAATTCTGAAACCCTAGTTTGTTAATTTCGAAATTAGCCTCTCTCCTCTAGGGTTCTTGTTTGCAATTCAAAGTTATATGTTCAATAGTTAAAACATAGATCCAAAGTAGGTTGCATGTGAACTTAGGAATTGTTTTCTAGTTTATTTGTTTTACCTAAAACCCATCAAAGGTACCATCAAAGTGCTAGGCAGGAGAGGTCCGTGATCATCACCTCGATGATCACTACCAAAATGAAGGGTGGATAGTCTGTCACGAGAGTATGCCCGAATCCCTCAGTTTGAGTTCAGACACACCCGAGAGTATGCCCGAATCCTTCAAACCAAGGCTCTGATACCAACTTGTAACATCCCAAAAATTATGAGGTAAAATTTCATTTTTAATTCAACCATTAAAACACCACTTAGTATTACCATTCATTCAAAGGTATAATAATGCAAAAATAGTTATCATAGTATAATACCATAAATCATAAGGTTGCGGAAACATGGGTGGATGCAGTGGAGTTACGTCAGGCTCTTCTCATTATACCGAAAGTACCTGAAACATAAACTGAAATCCATAAGCACAAAGCTTAGTGAGCTCCCCCAAAATACCACACATACTAAACAAACATATTGCCGAGCATATCTAGATGCTTGTCTACCCCTTCGGTCTATTTCAACCGGATAATATCAAGCATATCTGGGTGCTTGCCTACCCCTTCGGTCTATTTCAACCGAATATTATCAAGCATATTTTAGGTGCTTGCAATCCCCTTCGGTCTATTTCAACCGGATATCGGGTCTATTTCACCTCTACTACTACCACATAATATCATAACAGAAATCACAGAGTCATCAAGCAATACAGACATAACTGACAATTATCAAAGACAATCATCACACTACATCATAAACTAGTGGGCCGACATTGGTGCCTTCGACCCACGAATACTGCGAAGGAAGACTCACTTCAAGCTGCTGAATCTCTCAAATAAAATCTCGATCTGCTGATCCGGAAATATCCCCGCGCACTAGCACTATCAAATAAAATCCAATTAATAATTGGATCTCAAATCATAATCAAGAATCTAAAGTACTGGCTCAAACCCAAGGCCCAACTCAATTGCTCAAAATGCCCAATTCCTAAACGGCATCCCAAGGCCTAATATGGCCCAACTTTCTAATTGGGCCCAAAAACCATTCTGGATCTATATCCAAGAAAGCCCATATGCTAACCATGGTCCAAAGTCAGAAGCCCAATGACCCATCAAGGCACAATCCCTAAAAGGCCCCAAATAGACACTTCGGGGAGTACGCCCTGCGTACTAGGAATTTACGCCCCGCGTACTCGCCTCTGAAGCACCACGTACAAGTCGTCAATGCATGAAACTCGCATTACGCTGAACGTACTCTCCTACGTACGCCCATCTTACTCGTCAGAGGGTCAAAACGTCCATAATAAGCTCTTAATGGTTAAGACAAAAGCATCCAAACACTTATCTTAACCCTAAATGATGTCTTAATCCATAAAGTTGAAACCTTTAAGCTTTTGCATGGCTAAAGAGGGATAAATCTCCATAATTCTTACTTTCACAACACCGAAAACCACTTAACTCTAGCATGGTTCTAAGGAAATGATCAAGCAAACATTTTTATGACTCATAACACTCTAAGACCTCAAAAAGGACAGCTAATATGCTTTGGAGTACTCCATACTCACAAAGATCCAAAATTTGGGACACAAACTTATGAAACTATGCCATAACAAGATCTAAGAATAGAGTCATAAAGCTTTATAGCTCCAGAAGGTAGATCGAGATGTACCAAGCCTGGATCCACAAGCTTCAAGCAATCCCACACTTCTCCAAGAAGCTCCTCCTTCTTCAGTGAACATCAAAATACACGAAATACCACCAAAGCTCAAGAACCACACCAATGGGGGCTAGGGTTTTGTTTCTAGGGTTTAATGGGATGGAGGCTGAAGATAAGTGGATTTGGTGTTGAGTTAAGGAGCTTAAATAGGGTCCAAGACCCTAAATTAAGGTTTGGGTATGATTGGAGTACGCCATGCATGCTCCTAGTACGCCCAACATACTCCAAAGAGCACCCACGACTGCCGTGCCTAGTACTCCCCACATACACCTATGTACGCCCTGCGTACTAAGCTCAACCCTAAAACTGCCAAACTTACGAAGGCCATAACTTCTTCGTTCTAAGTCCGTTTTCGACGATCCTTATATCCCCAGAAAGGTAA